CCCAGACCTCAGGGATCCTCCTGGACCTTGGTGACTCTCCTGGGGCATCCCACATCTTAGGGACCCTTCCTGGGGTACCATGCACTGCACGGATATTTGTAGGACATCCCACATTTTGGGGACCCTTTGGGGGCACCCCACATTTCAGGGACTCCTGTGGGGCTTCTCAGATCTCAGGGACCCATATGGGACACCCCACATTTTGAAAAGCCTTCCTGGGGCACCCCAGACTGCAGTGACCCTTGTGGGGTGTCTCACATCTCAGGGACCCTTCTGGGGCACTCCAGGCACTGTCATGGGGGCATCCCACATCTCAAGGACCCCCTCATGGGGCACCTTCTATCTCGGGGACCATCCCAGGCTGCCCCACATCTTGGTGACCCACCTGGGGGCACCCCAGATTTCAGGGACCCATGTGGGGCACCCCAGATCTCTGGGACCCACCCTCCTGGTGCACCCCAGACCTCAGGGATCCTGGGAACCTTCCTGGGGGCACCCCACATTTCAGCGACCCATGTGGGGCACCCCAGATCTCTGGGACCCTCCTGGTGCACCCCAGATCTGAAGGATCCTCCTGGGGAGCCCTGGACCCTGGTGACCCTCCTGGGGTGTCCCACATTTCAGAGAATCTTCTGGGGCACCCCAGATCTCTGGGACCCACCCTCCTGGTGCACCCCAGATCTCAGGGATCCTGGGAACCCTCCTGGGCGCACCCCACATTTCAGGGACCCATGTGGGACACTCAACATCTTGGAGATGCTTCTTGGACCCTTGGGGGTCCAGTTGTATCCTGGATTTTGGGCAGCAGAGTGCTGGTACCCACCAACCCCAAACCACCCACATCCCCGCAGTGACATCCCCTCACACCACACCCAGAAGCACAGAGATGGGAAGAAGGAAACCCACTCCACGATGCACCCCAGACCTTAGGAACCTGTATGAGGCACCCCAAACCCCAGGGACCCCCCAACACAGCCAAACCTCACCTTGATCCCGGAGAGCATGACTGTGACCAGATAGTAATCCGGGAGCAGGAGGGCTCTGACCACGCTGCCATCCCGCACGTGCTCAATGATGGCTGCAGATTGAGAGCACAGGTCCATGCTGGTGCCATGGTGAGGGGGTGCAGAGCCAGGCCCACCCCCCTGCACCCCCATGGCTCTGAGAAGGGCAATCCCAGCAGCATGCATGCATGCAACCCGCAGCTTGCCAACGCAAGCATCACCGCGCGCAGCCCTCCGGCTCACCCACCATTGACTGGCTTCTGGTGCATGGAATCCACAAAGTGACGTGGGTTTTCGATGGTGTATTTGAGGTCACGGATGGTGTGTGAGCCCGTGCCTTCGCTCCACATCCCTTTCTTGGCACTCTTGGCTTGCTCCTCCAGCTCTGCCAGCCGGCTCTGCTCGGAGCTGCAGGGAAGCGGACAGAGCGGCTCAGCGCCAAGCAAGACGCATCCGTTGCTCAGGTGCTTTTCTGGATGCTGGAGCAACCAGACCTCCAGGTGAGGGATGGGTGGGTGATGCTGCCAGCAGCAACGTGCCACGCATCAGAGCCCAGTGGGCGCACGGGGTGAATCTCCAGCAACCAAACATCCACCTCCACGAGCACCGCCGCCCTCTGCACGGCAGCTGCGGTGCGCGCGGATGGCAAGGTGACAGCAGGGAGACAAGGGAAGGTGACAGCAGGGCAGCAGCGGGTTGGCAGCAGGGATCCCAGCCAAGGATGCTGCTTAGGGCTGCCTGGGAGCATGGTGAGGTCTGGAGATCAGCAGCCAGCAGCCCGGGGAGCGAGGCTGCGGTGAAGCGGAGCGCTGCCAAGCGCTGTCACGCTCCATTAAACGAAACCTCGGGATATTTTTGCTTGCAGACTTCTTCAGCTCAGCTGAAGAGGGCAAAGCTGCAAGCTGAGTGGCTCCAGACGTGCCTGGTGTTAAATACGTGGGGAGCAGCAGCACACGTGGGGCTCAGCCAGCACCTCCAGGCAGCCCGCAGCTTCCCCTGCCTGCACCGAGCCCTCCTGGAGCTGCTGGTAATTAACACGATCCTTGCAATTAGGAGAGCAAACGCGGAGCAGCAGGTTGCTACAGGCAATGTTTAATTGCAGGATGCTGAGTTCCGTGGGGATGCATTACAGTGCTGGTGTTGCGTGGACCCAGGGGGGGTTGACACAGCCTGCGCCCCCAGCATGGAGCAATGGGGGGTGGGGGATGGAGCACCAGAGCACTGCTATCATTGTGGGATGGTGCAGAGTGACCACAGAGCTGGGGAATGGCTGAGGGGTTGGGAGGGACCTTCTGTATCATAGAACTCCAGAATGGTTAGGTAGGGTTGGAAGGGACCTTATGGATCATTGAAACATAGAATGGTTGGGTTGGGCTGGAAGGGACTTTAGAACCACAGGATGGTTGGGTTGGAAGGGATATAACAGAGCTAAGAACCACAGAATGGTTGGGTTGGAAGGGACCTTATGGATCACAGAGCCATAAAGTGCTTTGGGTTGGGATGGAAGGGACCTTACAGACCTTAGAACCACAGAATGGTTGGGTTGGATGGGACCTTATAAAGCTCAGAACCACAGAATGGTTGGGCTGGAGGGGACTTTATAGATCCTAGAGACATAGAATGGTTGGGTTGGGTTGGAAGGGACATTACAGAGCTAAGAACCACAGGATGGTTGGGTTGGAAGGGACCTTATGGATCACAGAGCCATAAAGTGCTTTGGGTTGGGATGGAAGGGACCTTATAGACCTTAGAACCATAGAATGGTTGGGTTGAAAGGGACCTTGTAGAGCACAGAGACATAGAATGGTTGGGTTGAATTGGAAGGAACATTACAGAGCTCAGAACCACAGGATGGTTGGGTTGGAAAGGACCTTATAGATCCTAGAGACATAGAATGGTTGGGTTGGGTTGGAAGGGACATTACAGAGCTCAGAACCACAGAATGGTTGGGCTGGAGGGGACCTTATAGATCCTAGAGACATAGAATGGTTGGGTTGGGTTGGAAGGGACATTACAGAGCTAAGAACCACAGGATGGTTGGGTTGGAAAGGACCTTATAGATCATTGAAACGTAGAATGGTTGGGTTGGAAGGGACATTACAGAGCTCAGAACCACAGAATGGTTGGGTTGGAAGGGACTTTACAGAGCTCAGAACCACAAAATGGTTGGGTTGGAAGGGACTTTACGGATCACAGAGCCATGAAGTGCTTTGGGTTGGGATGGAAGGGACCTTATAGACCTTAGAACCACAGAATGGTTGAGTTGGAAGGGACCTTGTAGAGCACAGAGCCACACAGTGGTTGGGTTGGGTTGGAAAGGACATTGCAGAGCTGAGTCATGGAATGGTTGGGTTGGAAAGGATCTTATAGAGTACAGATAGATAGATTTGGATTGAAAGGGATCTTACAGATTACAGAACCACAGAATGCTTGGGTTGGGTTGGAAAGGACCTTGTAGAGCACAGAGACATAGGATGGTTGGGTTTAATTGGAAGGGACTTTACAGAGCTCAGAACCACAAAATGGTTGGGTTGGAAGGGACCTTATAGACCTGAGAACCATAGAATGGTTGGGTTGGAAGGGACCTTATAAAGCTCAGAACCACAGAACGGTTGGGCTGGAGGGGACTTTATAGATCCTAGAGACATAGAATGGTTGGGTTGGGTTGGAAGGGACCTTGTAGAGTACAGAGCCACACAGTGGTTGGGTTGGGTTGGAAGGGACATTACAGAGCTGAGAATCATGGAATAGTTGGGTTGGAAAGGATCTTATAGAGTGTAGATAGATAGAATTGGATTGAAAGGGATCTTACGGATTACGGAACCACAGAATGGTTGGGTTGGGTTGGAAAGGACCTTGTAGAGCACAGAGACATAGAATGGTTGGGTTGGAAAGGATCTTAATGACCACTGAACTATGGAATCCCACGATGGTTTGGGTTGCTGTAGAATGGTTGGGTTGGAAAGGACCTTAATGACCAATGAACTATGGAATCCCACGATGGTTTGGGTTGCCAAGGGACCCCTCTAGCTCTCCCCCACCATGGGCTGGGTGCCCCCCACCAGCTCAGGTTGCCCAGAATGCCACCCATGGCCTCAAGGCTCCTCCATGGACGGGGTACCCACAGCCCCACCATCACCAAGCTGGAGTTCATACATACTTGTTGGCACGGATCCCCTCCCGGCGCGATGCCAGCCCCTCTGCCACCAGCGACTCGGCGATGTTCTCACCACTCGTGTCTGCAGGAAGAGGAGAGGAGAACAGTCAGCGTGCAAGGAAAGATGCATTTCATCCTTGGAACACATCCGTGAATGGGTTGACCACGAGGAGATGGGGTGTGTGAGCTCAGTCCAGGCTCTGCACCCACTGCTATGGAAGCTCCCCGAGCACCCACACCTCTCAGCATGGCAATTTCATGGGTACCTGCGTGACACCACCCCAGTGCCCCATGGGGAGCTCCCTGTCTCTCCCTATAAGCTTAGGGACAACAAAACGGGCCACGCAGACCCCCAGGCCACCCCACAGAGCCTGACAGCTGTGCTATCCCCCAACACAACCCCACAGCCATGCAGGACGAGGGGAAAGCTCTGACCCTCCTCAACTGGAACCAACGGGTGTCATGGGGATGGTCTGCCCCCCTACAAGGGCTGGAGCAGAAGGTTCCCCATTGATTTCAGCTTGCACCCATCAGCGGGATCAGCCCCAGCACGGTGCATTGCTTCCATGGGAACGCAGCCTGCAGCATCCCAGCACCACAGGGCTCTCCATGTTCCAAGCAAAGGCCACTTCCTTCAGCTCCTAAGTGGGTTTGGGGATCCCCAGCAGGAGGAGACCCTGCACAAAGACACCCTTCCTTGGCACAGAAGGGTTTTGTGGTGCTGGGGGCCATGCGGGGAGGCGGGGGAGGAACGTGGTGAAGCTGCTGCAGCGCTTTCACGTTAATTGCACTCCCAACCCTAATGACAAACTTCATTAGGAAGCATTTTCTGCTTCGTTTCTCCCCGCAGCGCCGTGACAGGCTGGGATGGAACAATGAGGATGACACCTACACACAAAAACCTTTTACGTGGCAGACGAGGAGGCTGCAAAGGCTGCAAGGACCGACGGAGCAGCAAAACCCTTTCCAAGATGCATTCCCACCCCAGCTGTGCTGTGGGGCAGCTCAGCACCACTGTGCAGGACCTGCAAGCTCTGCCCACCCCTGTGCCCTCCTGCATTTTCCACACCCAAGTGCTCACATCTCAGCACTGCCCAGAGAGAAGTCTGCTCTCCCAGCCCTGTGCTTGGAAGCACCATGGATGCATGGGGTTGGGGCTGGATGGGCTTTATGGTGCCTTCCAACCCAACCACCCTATGGCTCTGTGATCTGTAAGGACCCTTCCAACCCAACCCAACCACTCTATGGCTCTGTGATCTGTAAGGACCTTCCAACCCAACCACTCTATGGCTCTGTGATCTGTAAGGACCCTTCCAACCCAACTCAGCAATTCTGTGGCTCTGGGATCTGTAAGGACCCTTCCAACCCATCCACTCTATGGCTCTGAGATCTGTAAGGTCCCTTCCAACCCATCCACTCTACAGCTCTATGATCTACAAGGTCCCTTCCAAACCAAACCCCCTATGGCTCTGTGAATCCATACAGTCCCTTCTAACCCAACCCAACCCATCCTCTGGCTCTGCAATAAGGTTCCTTCCAACGCAACCACTCTATGCATCTATGACCTACAAGATCCCTTCCAACCCAATCCGACCATTCTATGGCTCAGTGATCAATAAGAATCCTTCCAACCCAATCACTGTGTGGTTCTGTGATCCATACGGTCCCTTGCAATCCAACCCAATCACTCTGTGGCTCTGCAATCCATAAGGCCCCTTACAAACCAACCACTCTACAGCTCTGGGATCTATGAATTCTTTTCCAACCCAACCACTCCATAACTGTGATCTATGAAGTCCCTTTCAACCCAATCCAACTCATGTTCTGGTTCCCTAATCCATAATGTCCCTTCCTATGCAAACACTCTACGGCTCCATGACCAATAAGATCCCTTCCAACCCAACCATTCTGTGGATCTATGATCTACAAGATCCTTTCCAATCCAATCCAACCATTCCATGGCTCTCTGATCAATAAGACCCCTTCCAACCCAACCACTGTATGGTTCTGTGATCCATAAGGTCCCTTTCAATTCAACCCAACCACTCTATAGCTCTGCAATCCATAGAGTCCCTTCTAACCCAGTCACTCTATGGTTCTGTGATCTATGAGGTCCCTTCCAACCCAAACCAACCCATGCTCTGGTTCTGCAATCCATCAGGTCCCTTCCAACCCAATCCAACCATTCTATGGCTCTGTGATCAATAAGATTCCTTCCAACCCAATCATTTGGTGGCTCTGCAATCCATACAGTCCTTTCCACCCCAACCACTCTATGGCTCTGTGAGCTATGAGATCCCTTCCAACTCAATCCAACCATTCTATGGCTCCACGATCAATAAGATCCTTTCCAACCCAACCATTTGGTGGCACTGTGATCCATAAGGATTTCCAATCCAATCCAACCCAACCACTCTACGGCTCTACAGTCCATGTGGTCCCTTCCAAACCAACCACACTACAGCCCTGTGATCCATACAGTCCCTTCTAACCCAACCACTCTATGGCTCCATGATCCATGAGGTCCCTTCCAATCCAACCCATGCTCTGGCTCTGCAATCCATAAGGTTGATCTATAAGATCCCTACTGACTCAACCCAACCATTTTACGTCTCTATGATCTATAAGATTCCAATCCAAGCCATGCCTCAATTCCATGCCCCAGCCCAACCATTCTATGATCCCACACCCCCAAAGGGGCTGGCACCGAGCACTGCACCAACTTGCAGAGAGACAACAGCTCTGGTGAGAGTCAGGACCAAACCCAAAGCAAACGTTGGGGTTAAATGCACCAAAAAGGTGAGGAGGGGGAACCCAAAATGCAGCGTTTCCCACACACCCCGCACTGCAGATCCATGCATCCTGCTTCATGCTCACCTTTACCCAGGTACACCATGCCATATTCCCTGCCCTGGGGGGTCTTGTACTCCACAGTGAAGCACACCTCCTTCCCAATCAGCTTCTTCCGCAGGAATTCACGGGCTGGGAAGCCCCAGGGCTGGAAGGAAAGCAGACGGTGTCACTGTGCCCATGGCAGCTCTGGGGTGAAGGTATGGGGCTGGCACATCCCCATCCCATCCCCACGTCCCCATGGCTCCATCCTGACCCTGCATCCCATCCCATCCCCATGTCCCCATCCCTTCCCCACGTTCCCATATCCCCATCCCCATGTCCCCATCCCATCCCCATGTCCCCATCCCTCCATCCTGATCCTGCATCCCATCCCATCCCCACGTCCCAATATCCCCATCCCATCCCCATGTCCCCATGGCTCCATCCTGACCCTGCATCCCATCCCATCCCCATGTCCCCATCCCTTCCCTAC